GATAGATAGATAGATAGATAGATAGACAGACAGACAGGCAGGCAGGCAGGCAGGCAGGCAGGCAGACAGGCAGACAGGCAGACAGACAGACAGACAGACAGGCAGGCAGGCAGGCAGGCAGGCAGGCAGGTAGACAGACACAGACAGACAGGCAGACAGGCAGGCAGGCAGACACAGACAGACAGACAGGTAGGTAGACAGACACAGACAGACAGGCAGACAGACAGGTAGACAGACAGGCAGACAGACAGACAGGCAGACAGACAGACAGACAGACAGACAGACAGACAGACAGACAGACAGACAGACAGACAATGAACTATTTTGATAAACTGTTTCTTTAATACAAAATCTAAGACCAAAAGTTTGCTGGTTTATAGAGATGAATTGTGGATAAAGTATAATATAAATGTCTTTGAATGTTAGACTTAGAAACTGAAGATAAACATTGTAAAATTTAATTTTGATTTAATTGTAAAGCAAATTTGACACTAAATACTGTTCCAAAGCAGTGTGATAAAAATGACTGCATTAAACATATTCAATAAATTTTATCATGTTAACTTATACAGCCCTAATAATTAGTAAAATCTCAAATTTACCACATACCACCAGCCCCGTTTAGACCCCCGGGGTCCCTAGAGCCCAGTTTTAAAACCTCTGCTCCAGTGCATAGTATAACATGAACTGGGATGTAAGGTCACTGCTGTGCTCTGTTGGTTTCTGTTGGTTTGGATGTGTGCCATTTGTAGAAGTACAAGGAAACCATGAGCCAGTAAACTTTGTGACTCATGCACACTTCTGAAACAGGTTTCATCATGATGGCCGTTGACACTGAAGCATGACACACCAGTGATACAGAAACACTAAGATCTTGGAGGAGTGTTTTGTGTTCACGTTGGTGGTTAAAACACACACAGCAGCTCAATAGGGTTTTCACTCCTCTACTGAGAGTTTAATCACACTCTGTACACAGAGTCCAATCAATTCCTGTATGTCAGAATCAGTGATATTCACATTCCACAAGCGAATTAACTCCTCAAACATTTAAAGTGACAGTCCTATCTGTGAACAGAAACAAACTGAACAACTAGTTAATAATGCAGTGACGTCTCTTTTCTGGAAAATGGTAGCTTGAGAATGGGTGCCATTGGATGCTAGAAAATCACAGAAACAAAGGTATGTGTCTTCACTGACTCATAAATTTTGATACGATCTCTCTTCACTAAAGTTTCTTCCAACAGCCCTGTGGTCTTGGGAAAATCCCATACATTACTCTCCGGTATTTAGAAGTGCCCACGATAACAATATCGTGCATATCCATTACTGTGATATATCGCATTATCGAATACCGGCACAAGTCTACTCTCCATAGAGACCAATGTTGCCAGATCTCACTAGAAAAACTGGATCTGAAAAACAAGCCACTTGCCTTTTTAAAATAAACCCAAATACATTGATCATTTTTATGAACTACATTTATGAAACAACAAGCCCAAAGACGTTTATACACTGAACAAAATTATAAACGCAACACTTTTGTCAGGGTTTGACAGCGTGTTCCAGTTCCTGCCAATATCCAGCAACATTCCACAGGCCACAATCAACAATCTGATCAACTCTATGCGAAGGAGATGTGTTGCACTGCGTGAGGCAAATGGTGGTCACACCAGATACTGACTGGTTTTCGGACCCCCCCGGACCCCCCAATACAGTAAAACTGCCCATTTTAGAGTGGCCTTTTATTGTGGCCAGCCTAAGGCACACCTGTGCAATAAACATGCTGTCTAATCAGCATCTTGATATGCCACACCTGTGAGGTGGATGGATTATCTCAGCAAAGGAGAAGTGCTCACTAACACAGATTTAGACAGATTTGTGAACAATATTTGAGAGAAATAGGTCTTTTGTGTACATAGAAAAAGTCTTAGATCTTTGAGTTCAGCTCATGAAAAATGGGGGCAAAAACAAAAGTGTTGCGTTTATAATTTTGTTCAGTGTAAAAATGTGGACATGGCAATATGATGTTTAGCAGCAGTTTTATGAGTCAGCGGGTGGTTTACTTAAAATTGTTGGACATAATGCGTCAGCTGAATAACATGCCTTTGGTCAAAAATAGCAGACATCAAACAGGTTAAACTGATGCTCAAATGTTCCTATGATTATCACTACCTCAATAATCGCAACTTTGAGAGTGACTCATGACAATTGAGATATTTACTACCAAAGTTCAAGGTTGTTGCCTCTCTTATGTCTGTATTATTTATTATAAAAACATCTCTATTTACATCCTTTATTTTCTTAAATGCACTTCACCTGCCTTCAGGTGTCACCAGCAAAGCATTATGTTTGCTACACTGCAGTTGTTAAGAGCTATTTCTACCTGGTTTAGTTAATTTATAAAGTTAATTTAGATGTTACCAGTCAGCACTGTAAAACCCTCTCAGAAAACCTAGTTTTTGTTTTTTACAGGGGAACAAAGCAGGGTTTGTGTACAAACTGTCAGATTCTGTGAACTATAATGTTGCACAGAGCTAGATGCTAGCTGCATTATAGTTTAGACAAGGGGTCAAAAAAGCCATCTGGTTTGAATCAGGAGAGAAATCTGCACAAATTAACAACCATTGATGAACCAAAACACTCCAAAACAGTTCCTCATGGGTGGATTTTGATGTGGGAGGATAACAGGGGATGGACTTTTTCACTGGAGGAAGTGTTATTATGGATTATAAACTCAGAAGCGACACTGTAAAAAGTAAAAAATAAAGTAACCTAATATATTCAGGTTGATTCAGTAATGTTAAATAACATTTTTTATTTGAATAAAATCAATTTAGATGTTACCACATGAAGCACATTTGGTCACATTGGGAACCAATTCTCACTATTAAATAACTATTATCTATGACATTTGCCTCAATAAACTTCTAATTTGCTGATTATTAATAGTTAAAAACTATAAACAGCCAATATGCTAGTAATATGCATGCTAATAAGCAACTAGTTAATGGTGAGAACTGGTCCTTAAAATAAAGTGTTACTGCTCATTTTTAGGTTACCATTTTTTTCAGAGAAAGGTTTAAAGGTAAAATGTCTTAATGATTGATTTGTTTCTTACAAACACACAGCTTTTGTCTTCTCAAGATGTCAATTGATGGACTGGAGTGGTGTGATAATTACATGTATGCAAGAAGCATGCAAGAATATACAAGTACCGCTATCTGCTGAGCTTGTGTCTTCTGTCTTTCCGAAGAGAAACTGGTACTTGGCTTTGGCAACACTCTGTGCATGTGCAGAGGAGCTGCTGACCCAATCAAACGCTTCTCCCTGCAAGAACAAACCAGAGTTAAACATGCATTAATCTGACATCATTTTAACTTAACCAGTTTTTGCAAAGTGTGCATGTGGCAGTATTATGACTGAAGACAGAAAGTCTTCCAAATTTAGCAAATCAGTTTTACAAGACGGATGCTGTCAAGTTCCAAAACAAAACATGACAAAATAGCTTTGTGAGAAGAACAGACCCAAAATCCTCACAAGTTATTATTTATAAAAAATATTTTCCTGTCCTCCACAGCTCTCATGTCTATTTTGCTGTTGCATATTCAAATATTCAATAAAATTGCAGCAGGTTTCACAACAATGATGTCATATCACATATCACAAGTTTAGAAATGCAAATGAACGGTTTTATTTTGTGCTTCTCACACAGAGATCGTATGACTTCAGAAGATTTGAAAAACATGACAAGATTAACTTTGATTGTATTGCGTGAACACTGTGCTAAACATCTAGCTTTTGAGTTTTTAGCTATACAGGTTTGGAGACATTTTGACTGTGAGTAAATGATCATTTTCATTTCAGGGTAAACTGTTCCTTTAAATCCAGCAAGTGGCATGAATGTGTGAATCTAGCATTCATGGCCATCATGCTGAAGTTCCCGCAGGAGGCCGTCGCTATGACTTGCTCCAGGCGGCTCAGGAATGTTTCTGTTTCCAGAAAAGGGCTCATTTTTTCATACTAGTGTCTTTTGTAGCTGACAAGTAATTGACCGCACTCTAGCCACATGACGAGCATGTGGACTTACTGGAACTGAACTGAAATGGTTGGAATGAAACGGTGTCTGCTTTCAATTTCACAAGAGAAGTCGGCCTTAGTGAAAATCTGACCTCAGTGTTTAGGTTTGCCTCTTTTCCCTTGTTTGTTACGATCAGAGTTCAACATCAGAGACAGAGCCCTATGAATCAGACATCTTTATCAGACACCATCTATAAAACAAGCTCAAAGTCTAATGTCAGCTTCAGAGCTGAGCATGTTTAAATCAGATCTAATGGAGGGAAACCATTACTGACATTGTTCCTGACATGTTCCCTGAGTCAAGACATCAGGAAATCCAGTTATTGACTAGTCCAAGATCTCCACTGAGGACTGGAGCTGATCTGTTTAAAGGTCACTGGCCCTTTTCCAGTCAGTTGTGATCGGAGATACAGAAACACTAAGAGATATCTCTGCCTTTCAGGATGCTTAGCTAGTACAAAATGTTATCTACTTACGGCCATGAAAAAAAGTTAATCCATTCAAACTGTTTTAAGCATAATGAATGCAATGTTCCCGCAGTAGTTATGAAGAAAACGCACGAGCTTTCACTTTATTGTGTTACTGCTGTATCTCAAAACCTCATAAGATGCTACTTAGGCACAGCAATGGAATGCTGTCAGCTTTTGAGTTGCTCAAAAATGTCCTCAGGTGTAAACCACTGCCAACAACATGCAGAAAAACAAGTAAATGACAAACATATAAAACAGGAAATTATATCATAGAGCAGACCACCGCACACCCAGTCAAAGAAAAATTTAACTTTTCATATTGAGACGAGGTTAATCAGGTTGTAAAATGTCATGTGGTGCAACTCCACGAAAATGTGATATTTCTGAGTAATAATTTTTGGATATCTGGAAGTATTTCTTTTTTTAAATACTATATAATTTTTTACATATTTTAACAATTTAATGAATGTAATTTTTTTAACCATATGAAACCTACATGTATGACAGTACATTCTTATTTGAGCCACAATGCAAACACTGCAGACTCAGATTCATGACAAAATGACTGATCAGTCTAACAAATCCTTCGATTAATTAATCTGTCAGAGCAGTTATTGTGAATTAATATCTGACTCACTTTGTGAACCAAGTCTTTATTTTCAGTCACTTCAGATGAAGCAAGAACTGCTTTGCGTAACAAGGTTCATGGTATCAGTAACACTGACTGATTGTTCACATGACAATGCGAAGGAAACGGCACAGGTATCACACACAGAGCACTTCATGCAGACAAAAGGTTCACAAAGGTCTGTGCACTTCTTCAAAAAAACGAACAATGTGAGTTTGATGAGCTTCACAGTTGGTGTAAAGTGGCGCAACTGTGCAAAACTGAAGATTAGCAATGATGACTTTTATTACGAAACGTCTGTGTAAGTAGCCTAGGCTTTGCTCACGCTGTCAAAACACACGCTTGTTACTGAAAAACTGTGTATACTCAATGCATCTTCAATGCTTCTGTTATGTGTGTCCCTTGGTAACCATTTCTGAAGGCTTTGTTTTAGGAAACTATGAACTTACTGTGACTGGCAGGCAATAGCATGGAAGAATTTTGAGCAGCCCCAGAAGTCATAGCTGGCACTACTTTTGGATGCCATATGGTGATGGCACTATGCATACTTTCACAGAAAACAACGTGTTAAATTTTAGGACACTTATGTCATCCACCTGCCACATCCAGTGTGCTCCTCCTTAAACCACAGCGCTCATTATCATTCCTGGAAAAGACCTACTTACGGATGTGAAGAAAAACACGAAACAAATGCATTTAATAAATAAAAGACTTGAGGAACGCTGAAGTTACAGAGCCTGACTGGGCACCAAAACACGATCTGGTTACTTTAAAACAAGAAGCTCACAAAAGTGAGTTGAACTGGGAACCATGAAGACGAACCAATTCTGACAATCCAGATTTTTCACTACAGTGAGCAGTCTGAGGTTTGCCTTCAGGGTAAAGCATGGTATTTAAGACACACAGACAGCATGTCGGCCTGTGATCTTCAGTTTTCATGATTATTATTCTCAGGAAACAGAGGAATAACACACCATTTCTGAGCATAAGAGCTACAGCAGAACACGGTTCATGTTTCCACTTCATTGAAAATAGTACAGCATCCTACATGAATTAACCATCAAAATACAATAAAAATAAGTGTTGTGATCACCAACTTAGGCAAAACTTCAGCCGTTTTAATACTGTTCAATACTGTAAAGCTGCTTTGACACAATCTGCATTGTAAAAAGCGCTTGGACTCTCATTCTGACGGCACCCATTCACTGCAGAGCATCCGTTGCTGAGACACTGATGCAATGCTACATTTATACAAATCTGATGAAGAAACAAACTCATCCTAATCTTGGATGATCAGAGGGTGAGTCAATTTTTAAGCAAATTTTCATCTGAACTATGAACTATTCCTGTAATCCACAATCCAATTTTTTTTTTCAGTTTATTTAATGATTATGTTTTAAAGATCTACACACAGAAGAACAGGATGTTACACATTTAGAAGAGTAGGGTGTTAATTTGAGCCTGTATTCAGCCGAAAAAATACAGCATCACATACGGAAGTGAAAGAGAAAATGTGTTACAGTTTCCACTTCATTGAAAATAGTACAGCATCCTACATGAATTAACCATCAAAATACAATAAAAATAAGTGTTGTGATCACCAACTTAGGCAAAACTTCAGCCGTTTTAATACTGTTCAATACTGTAAAGCTGCTTTGACACAATCTGCATTGTAAAAAGCGCTATTTAAATAATGCTGACTTGACTTGACTTTTGCCATCAGAGTAAGAGTTTTATCTGACATCAAACATCATCTAGTAAAGTGTATGTTGACTATTAATTTATTAAGGTCAAGTGTACATTTTAGGTCCTGAAACGGCTCACAATTTCTTGAAAGCTTTCTTTAATCATCTTTAGCTCTTAATTATCAATAGTCAGTTGGTGTGACAAATTAATTTTGGTCACACTTTATTTTAAGGTCCAATTCTTGCTATTACCAAACCATTAACTATGACTTTTGCCTCAATAAACTCCTAATTAGCTGCTTATTAATAATTAGTAAGGTAGTTGTTAAGTTTAGGTATTGGGTATATTAGAGATGTAGAATATGCTCATGCAGAATATGTGCTTTATAAACACTTATAAACGGCCAATATATTAATAATAGGCATGCTAATAAACAACTAGTTAATAGTGAGAATTGGTCCCATAATAAAGTGTTACCTTAATTTTTAATGTAGTTCCATTGCATAAATGGTTTAGACTAGTCTTAATAAGTTAGTCATCTAATTCTTTTTCTTAAAGTTATGAAAAGGTAGATTGGTCTTATTTGTATTGAAAAAGTAAGACTGCTTGTTGGTCAAGCTACTTCTTTAGACACAGTCTTAAGTTTATGCAACTGGCCTATGTTTCAAATCAATATGAGCTCATGAAAACCTGTATAAGAATTACAAAAATGTTTATATGGAATATACAAATTTATATTTGTCTCACTCCTTACAAATTTAAATAGCAAAAGCATTTAATGTAGAACTACCCACAGTCTCATTATTAGCAAAAATTCCCCTAAAGAAATGAGTAGTACTTGTGTTTGTTTGTAACGGTGGTTGCCATGCAGAGGTCACATGACTGTACGATCACACTATATCTGTAAACCCCCTATACGTTCAGATACTAGGCCTTATAATAAATTAACAGTCAACTCATATGCTTTACTAGATTGTTTGATTATATCAGATAAAACTCTTGATGTACAAAACAATTGTTGAACCCTTTAAATTTCAATCATTTATGACTGATCATTTCAACATGAAGTCAAAATTAATTCATGTCATTTTCATCATTTCTATCTGCCTTTAATTTTTAACACACGTATCCAATCACACATCATGTATGACCATTCAATCAATGGGTTGCTATTTTGTGATATATATATATATATATATATATATATATATAAATAATGGTCAGCCAACACAAATTGTGTTTTTCAATCAGTAACATTACTCACCATGTGAGATTATTATAAGTGACCAGAGCTTTATTATTGCTGTATTAAACTGTTTAGGAGACTATGATACTCCAGTTTAAGTGTTTTATGAATAAATGTCTGACAGCAAAGTCAACTACATTCAATGGGATATTTATGCCTGGGTTTACAAAGGCAGATGACAGACAAAAAGAACTCCAATCAGTCAATAAAGATCCTCGAA